GCTGGCGCTTGTTCTTCCATAGCACATGCTGCACAGAACAAGTTTGACTTTATTATAACCTTGAGAAAATTTAGTGCGATTATTATATGGCAGTTGGCCACTATTTGTTTACCATGTTTATTATTAATACAACGCTCGTGTGTGCTTGTTAACTTTTTCGTTAAAATTTAAAATTAATGAGAAAAATAGGTGAAAATTTAATTACTTTTTATAAAAATATATATTATTATATATTTAATATGACACTTTTTTTGTCTGACTTACTTGTGTTATATTATAATAATTTTTTTAACTTACAACATATAACTACATTAAACATAAATATATCAACTGAGAAATAATTTTATTTTTGTAATAAATTTTAATAAATATTATTATTGTTTATTATTATAAAGATGAATATAATTTATTTATTTTATATATGCAATATGGATATCAAATCAAAAATCGTAAAAAAATTGATTAATTTGATACATTATATATGTAAAACCGATAAGAAATACAAAAGTTATCAACTTTTAAAATACATTAACAATTCAATAGTTAATTAAAAAAACAAATCAAAAGTCAGGGATATAATAGTCACATAGTGTCTGTAAAGTTATAAAGAATTAAAGAGTTATATTAGTACAAGTAATATTAAAATACCTAAGTTAGCTAAATAATATTTATGGAATGTCAGAACCTAGATTACTAATTATTAATATATCAATATTATTTGTCCAAGCCTAATTACGAAATATGATTTTTCGCTAAGTAGGATTTCGAAGCACCAGAAACAGCCACATAAACTCAGCGCATTCGAAAATTGTAGAGGGGATTTCAGTATACGCTGTTATACAGTGTAATAGTACACATGGATATGTTTATGCAAAGAATTGGAAGAAAACAGAAAAATAATACTATCTTCGAGTCTTATTGAGGGGAATCCCATCCGATGACATTTTAAAGTCAACTCTCTTTTTTTATTTTTTTTTGGTACAATTAAATTAGTCAACTTTTTAACAGAGCTGTTGTTTCCTCGGTGCTTCCTTCCCCAATAAATATAATATAATAGTATAATGTAAATCACCTAGCTATAAATTAATTAAAAATAAATAAATAAATT